TGTGTGTGTGTGTGTGTGTGTGTGTGTGTGTGTGTGTGTGTGTGTGTGTGTGTGTGTGTTAATAATGAGGCTCGTCAGGATAATAAACCCTGAGCTACACGATTATTACACCATCAGATATAATTTCGGCTATGTTGAAATGTAAATGTTATTTGTTTTTAACTGATCGTTCTCAAATCCTTCCATCATCATCATCATCATCATCATCATCATCATCATCAGTATGATACATAGCCTATTTTAAATGCAACTGCGGTTCCTACTGATATTTTTCTACTATCCGCGGGATGAAGAGGTCTCACCTACCTGATAAGATTCATTTACAGTGGAAATCAGCAACAGTTGACAGCAGACAGACAGTATATGGCTAAAGCCTGGACCCCGAACACCGGCCGCGGTGTGATCACTTTGTGCTCGGATTGTAACGTGTAGCTAATGTAACGTGATGTAACGCCGTTTCACCGGGGAACACGTCTTCGTCTTGTCCTCATCTCAAGCAGCAGCACCGAGAGGACGGATGCATCCTGACCCAGCTGCCTCAAGAGGCTCCCGGAAGTGTGGGTGTCGGGGATGGATGGTGTCTAAAGGGGGACAGCCGCTTTCCCTGCACGATGGTGGCGTAGATGTTGGTGGTCTCTCCCTCTCCCTCTCTCTCTGTGTGTGTGTGTGTGTGTGTGTGTGTGTGTGTGTGTGTGTGTGTGTGTGTGTGTGTGTGTGTCTCGTCGTTTCTCGCTCTGTCTCTCGCTCTGTCTCTCGCTCTCTCTGCCTCCCTCAGCCGCCGGTTCACCTCATCACGACTCGGTGAGGAGGTTTTTCATCACTGAGGGCTGCCACATCATTTTCTGACGGACTGATTCATGGGGCTGAGGAAATGCTTGCCCATTTGTCCGTGTTCTCAGTTCAAGGTGCCGCCGCTAGGTGGCGATGCAGGCACGGAGTTGGTGATACATTGTGAGAAAATAAGACACCAACAATTTATATATTAAACTACGAAAAACTGGAAAACGTACTGTTAACATTGTATGTTTCCATAGCAACACACTGACAAAGGGCTCATGAGGTCCTTATAGTCCGCTACAACAACAATAACAAAAACAAATGCTTATAACAAGAATAACATTAAAAATAATATTAATAATAATAATTAAGGAAATAATACCGATTCTTAAATAAAAGGTTTTACCCATAAACAAAACACTTTAAACATGTTAATATAATAATAATACAACAATTAAGGAAACTATAGCGATTCTTAAATCAAATGTTTGACACAGTAACTAATTTTAAACTGTTATTATTTGTCATTATTATTTTTTTAATAATAAAAGGGATAATGCATTCTCATTTTACACAGTATTTTTGTATTTATGCAATAGCTTCTCATCTTAAATGTTCTTATAATGTATGTTTATTTCATGTAGGATCTTTGCCTAATGATGTTTGCCTTTCTATTTTAAAGCACAGTGTGTCTGTCATATAAAACGCGCTTGGCTTAATAAATAAATAAACATAACCCCTAATGATATCATAGTGATGTCATCTGCACAAGACCTTTTTTTAACAGAACTAGCTGGAGATGTAGAGTAGTATTTGACAAATGTAGACTTTTACTAGGAAGTTATGCTCTATTTACAATCCCATACAAGTGATTTAAAGTTTTTTACTAAATCCTGTATTGTTCTGAGATTTTAACAGTTCTGCATCACATCGTCCTCATCAGCAGCGCTTTCTCTGTTCGAACTGCAGATGTTGAAACCTCCCATAATTATGTAAATTTTTGCAGCAAGAAATCAATCTTGAGATTGTTCTCTGCTGCAAAATGAAGAATGTCCACTTCAACTTCTTCATGTTGTTAAAACCTCCACATTTCCAAATAGCTTATAAGCTATTACACACCTGTAATAAACCAAGCATTGTTGAGCACTGTAACAGCAATCATTTATTTAATGCATGTTATGACCAGCATAAGCTTTAACACATATTCATCGTGATTAATATAAAATTCCTGCTTAAAGCATTCAGCTCAGAGGAGCTCTCTCTGATCTTACTAATCTAACTCATTAAGTACTGCTTGCAGACCTGTGGTCAGTCCTCTGCTTACAATGTTGAGTTCAACAAGCTCAGCAAAGAGCTTCAGAGGGATAACAAACACTGTTTGACACAAGTCTGATCGTTTAAAAATGGTATATTAAAAAATACCTGATTAATTAAGGCTAAGAAGCTTTGTGTATAAGGCAGCAGTTTTTCTTCATATCTCCAGAAGCTAATACACTTTGGGCGGAGTGACGTAAACTTCATTCAGACTATCTTTAAGTCCTTCATTGCAGACGCCAGCGACTGAAAAAAATATTCAAAAACAATAACCATGTATTATTATATTGTCTGCGAAAAGATGTCAACAGTATACCAAGCACATACACATTTGACCACATCAATGTATTCATGTGTGATCTTTAAAATATATGTGTATGTGTTACCTTCACATCCCAGATGCCCATTCCCCCATCCATGCCGGTGGTGCAGAACTTGGCGCACTTGTTTCTTCCTCCTTCCAGCACAGAGATTTGGCTGAAACATAGTTTAAGACAAGTCATGACATGTGTTGTGTATTTATATAAAAAAAAAGGGAGTCATACTGTCAAATAATTTAACATCTCCTTGTGGAAAGACAAATATGTTATTTTGTTATTTTATTCCAGAGGCATGAAAATTAAAAGTGATGTGTGAGTGGGTTCCCAAATTAAGAATTCTATATTAACCCTGACCGACTGTTAATTAGATGAAAATCATGCCATAATTTGCCATGAAGTGAAGTGAAATGCACTCATAAGTCATGTCTATTTGTACTTCACAGATCTCATAATCAGATCTTATTTACCCTTGACTTATTATACACAATACACAAATAATTTGAAACAGCTTTGAAGACTGATCTACCCTCCAGAGTCAAAGCATGCATTTTGTTTCCCCCTCACCTGATGCTGTTCTTGTGCAGGGTGTTCAGGTCCTTTTCTGTGCTCTGGGTCTCTGAGGCCCGACGGTCCAGGTTCTGGAAACGTTCCCTGGCACTGATGCCCTTCTGGGCCGCTTGCTTAGGAACGTCCAGTTTGCCACCAAAAGTCAAGCTGGCTTTGGCCCCGTCGTAGACAAACAGCACCGGGTAACAGTCGTGGCCCTAGGGAAACAAAAACACATGAAGATGAAGCTGGAAGAGGTTTTATTTTGATATAATATCTATACGGTATAACACAAGATGTATTGCTTGTGATTTTGGTTGTTATTTCAGAGGTATAGTTAAAAAGCTCAAGGCGAATGAGTGTACCATTTTTTTTTATTATTTTGACCACATACATTTGTGTCCCCATCTGTAAGACTGTGTTTTTGTAATACTACCAGTGGGGGTCGCTAAAGTAAAAAATGACAAAGCTACTGTTCAGACACAGTTGACTTTAAAACAACACTTTGTAGCTTTTGAAAGAAAAATAAATAACATGCATTCTATTACAAATAAAACATTGCAATCACAATAAGTGGATTTTATTTTTGCCTAATTCAACACACTCAGAGATACTCTTGCTACTGACTTACTTGATATGGTATGAATGACCATTAACTTGTGGTGGATAGCTAGCCTTAGTTATCATCATTTGGATATATAATGCTGCTGTATAACTGACATCACTGCTCTGTTCACAGAATGTTGTTACGGTAACACTGCATTTAAGCATGTAACAGATAAACCATGTTAATTATTTTATATGAAAAGATAAGCACAATACTGGGCATTATGAAGCGACGTGGTCTCGCTTCAAAGTACTATTTTCTAAAAAAGGGACCCTTGCCAGTGGATATGATTTGAAAAAGTCAAAAATTCTAAATCATTATTTCCCTTGTTGAATGGATATTTAAAAAATGGTGCAGTTCAACAATAGCTTAGTCAGGCAAATAACTAAATGTGAGTAAAATAAAAATAAAAACTGATTAACATTTGAATTTTTTCAGAAGATATTGGATATTTACTGTATACTCACAGCTGCTACTATGCTGTTCTCAGTGATGAAGGTGACACACAGCAGAGGAAGAGTCTCAGACCTCAGGCTGTTCACCCTGTGGAGGCATAACAAAGGTCAGAGTGCACACCTATAGAATAACACACACAGACATACGCTCATAAAGACAGACACAGAGGTATGTAGCCCCGCCCTCTCTTACGTGCTAGTCTTGCCTCCCTCAGCGACAGACACAGTGGAGTCGTGCGAGGTCCAGGCCAGACGGTTGCCGGAGTGTGAGAAACACACACCGTGCACCCATCCTCCGGCTCCAGCTACGGTCTGATCGGCTGCTCCAGACTCGCTAGACTCAAACAACATCTCTCCGAACGGCATCTTACTGCCCCAGGGAGTGGGGCCGGGCTTCTCCTCCACCTCTTTGATGTAGGCTGAAAACACCCTGTGGGCGAGGGCAAGAGGGGTGAGGGTGTGCATACGATTCAAAGAAGAGAAAGGGAGGCAAAAAGACAAAACGATGGATGTCTGCGCCTCCAATCAAGAGTTGGATGAGCAGAAAAGGTAGACTTAAAAATAAAATAATAGGGGGGAAAAAAAGCTAAATGCATAAGAAGTTATTACACTTATTAAATAACAATATCCAAAATCTTAAAGTGGACCTATCATGCTATATTTGAAACATATATTGTGGGGCCATACCTATATAAAACATGTCTGTGAATTTTTTTTTCAAAATACCAAACAGATCATGCCTTTTAGCCATGCATCATTTCGCTCTATTTGCTCTTTTTTAGCACTGTTTTTGCAAGGGCTGAATCTGTGAGAAGTCTTCTTCACTGCTTTTGTGGCAGACTACAGCGCCACTTACAGGCCTGGCATATGTACTACAGCGTCTCCAGCGGCAATGGCCGTGGCTGCCTCCTCCTGATAGGTGGAGAGTTGCCCATATAGGCGGAGCTCCTCGCTCCTGACGTCAGAGAATTTTCAAATTTGTATCAGTCTGTATCAGATCCGTTGCAGCCCCGTTTTTAGAGGTTTGGGTATGGAGGAAAAGAGAGAGGGTTGTGTTTTCTGACACACCGGGGACACATGTTCACGTATAAAAGACGTACAAAAGTGCATTTTGCATGATAGGTCCACTTTAAACGATATCAAGTCTCATATCATGATATAAATAAGAGATCAATATATTCTCAACCAGAGTTATTCGTTATATACGTATGTAGTCTTTGAAGTGTCCTCAGAAGTGTAGTGACAGATATTTGATTCACTGATACCTGCATTTGAAGTCGCAGCATCCAGCCGCCAGCAGGACGTTGTTGGGATGCCAGTCCAGGCTGAGGATGGTGGAGCGGATAGGCTTCTTGATGTGCTTACACACCCACCTTAAATAACAACAACAAGCATGTGGTTCATATTAATTAAATGCAGCCTACCATATAAATAAGTGGCAATGAGCTATCCTGTAAAACCTCACCAGTCATTTTCTTGCTCGAAGTAGCAGATGGAGATCAGGCGTGAGCCGCTGCCTACAGCAAACTTGTTCTCTTTTGGAGACCACTTCACACAGCGGGCAGCGCGGTTGATCCTGAGGATGACCAGGGTGGGCTTCCATGTGCCCTCTTTCAGGGTCCACACGTAGGCGTTACGGTCTGCTCCACAAGTAACTATACGGTTACTCTCTGTGGCCCAGTCGATACCTGCAGGAGAAAGACGTTCTTATTGTCATCTTATCTCTGTGCATGTTTTATGATTTTATAATTAAAGGACTAGTTCAAAAATGTGTGAAATATGCTTATTTGCTTTAAATCTGCTTCAAGTTGTGTCTTCAGGTTGCTGTCTCTTACTGTAGGCATTTTTGGTTAAAGGCCTGACAACATATCCAGTCCAATGATTAAACGTCTTGGGGCACTAGGTCGCCTTTCACTCAAGAAAGCGATATTGTTTAAGCTAAAGGAGCAAAAAGCCAGTATTCGCTTCTTGTATCCTAAGTACCAATGTTTTTGAGCATGCCTGTTTTTCCAAAATGTTGATCTATTGTTGTATATAAATAGTCCAATTTATTTATTAGATGTCACTGAACAGGAACGTTGGAATTTTAAACAAACGTGTACAGGACATGCAGCACTATGCATGGAAAAGATTATTTATTTATTGAGCTATTCATATATCAAATCATTTTACAAAGTTTGGTGTGTTTATCTGAACGTCAATTTGTGGAAAAAGTATTTGTGATTGTGTCTCACCTGTCACCTGCCCATTGTGCTCCTTCAGCTCATGGATCCTGTTCCACTGGGTCCCATCCTTCTTGTAGATGTGGACCTCGTGGTTGTTAGGGCATAAGGCGATTTCTATAGCACAAACATATATTTAAGTACAATAAACTTCAACAGATAAAAGTTCTGCAAATCAGTGTTACACAGTAAAGGGAAATTCATCAGTGTGAGTAGAGAGTGATTGACGAGAGAAGTTTGAGAGGTTGATCAGTGGAGTGGAACACCAAACAGCTAACAGGATGCACGAGAAAATAGAAAACTAGAGAGATACAATATGTATCTGCCTGCAGCACACAGGCACATGGTATCTTTAAATAGACAATGGGTGAGAACTGTAACCTTCCCCACATAATAATGTAGCAAACCCTGCACATGTTTTAGTCAGCAGATGAGTCAGAGGCAGTGTTTGTCCAAGAGCAGCAGTGTGGGTGCTTTAGTGTGCATGTTTGGCTTTTTCGAGTGTTCCGCCTGCAAGCTGAGCAAACTTAAATGTGCAGCTCACAAGTTGAGTGAAACTACATCTGCATATGACTCGACCACATTCGTCTGTAACATCCGCTTTGCCCAGAAACCAAAGCTCTCATCAAAACAGCCAAATAAGGCATTAGTTTCCTGTAGCTAACAGAGCACAAGAGCCTCTCAGAAAGGCCAGCAGACACCACCGTTACAGGAAACAGGAAATACCTTCTCCCACCTGGGAGCCAGTCACAGCCCTCTGACTCTTACACTTCTTGTTATTTGGCACAGACTGTAGTGGAAGCAAGATGTTCCATGATGTCTGTGATTAAAGCTGTGAGCAGTTCAGAGAGAAGACTCACTGAAATAAAAACCCCAGTGACCAATCAGAGACGGCGAGCAGACTTACGGGTACGATCTTTGTTCCAGGCATGGCAGCTAATTGGTTCCAGCAGGAAACTGTGGTACGCCATCGCCAATCAGATGTTAGAAACAAACCAGGAAGGGGTCTGAGGAACCAGTGGCTCGGAGATAACAGTCAAGTCTAGAAAAACAGAAGTTAAAAAGTTTTTGTTAGAACAAAGAAGTGGTAAGGAGAAAAACCCACACATGATTGTACAATTAGGGACATTTACACAAATACTCATCAAGATACAGACAAAGCTGGTTCAGACTATTTAAGGTGCTTTGAGAAGTAAAATAACATCAGCTGATCTTTAACCCTCTGTGCATAGAAAACAACACTGAACTTATCTCACTCAGGTTGGGTTAATGAAATCCAGACTCTCAGAGGCATGATAGGAATGATGCAGGTCAAGGGGTAACACACAGCCCCAAAACAAACACTTTACAGCGAGCAAACACACCCAGGAAATGAAACTCCATGAGAGCCGTTATAACTTTACTTGCCCTAATCAAAGACAACCTCTACACAATGACACCCAAATGTATATTTCCTTATTGAGTGTGGGTGGGTTAGAGTGCCTGTTGCATACTTTTAGCTTTTCCCTTTAAAATGCATTACTCAGTGTGTGAATATGTGTGTTACTCACATGTCTAAACACACTCAGTCAACTGTTAAATAGTTTCTAGGCTACTTACCCTTAGGGCTGGAGCGAGATCAATGGGTGAATAGCTGCTGTGATGGAGAGAGAGAGAGAAAGAAGGGAGAGGCAGAGGAAGGTGGCGGATCAAACAAAGATGAGGGTGCTCAGCTCGCGGACTCTGGCCAGTCAACGCGAACGCCAACGACAGAGTGAGCTCAGGAAGAGAGAAGCAGAGCAGAAGAGGGAGGAGAGGTCAGAGGGGGAAGTGGAGGAGGTTACAGTGAAGCTCTGAAGTAGAGACATACAGGAAGTTTGTGCAGGTTTATGCTCGAGGCAGAAAAGATCATGGGTGTAACAATTCAAAAATGTAAGCTAACTTTGAACTTTTAACTGATACAGAAAGAGAAAGAGGAGTTTTTGTTCCAGTGAAACTAGGACAACAGGGAGGGGCATGAACACAATACAATGTTCTACAAAAAGGAGGAAGTAGAAACTGAAAAGGGAAAAAAAAGCATGAAAGACACAAAAAAGAAGGGGGAGGGACTTGTGGTCACTTCTGCATAAAGAAAGAGGAACAAGTAGAAGGGGAGGGAAGAAACGTAAACTGCAGACAGGGGGAGGAAACAGTGGCGACAGGAGAAAAGGTTGACTAGAATATATTTTCTCCTGTTTCTTCATGCAGTTATAACATAGTTCCCTAATCATGGCAGTTCCCAACTTCAACTTTTCATGCTTTATAAACAAAACCCCCCAAAACGTTTAAGTTCAAACTAAAAAAAGGTTCAAACTAAATTATGGCATGTTTTTCTACAATGCCTATTTTTTTTATTTGGGAACTATAAGCACAGTGGACCATTCTGTAAAAAGAGACGGACGCATTCATAATCCGGACACAAATATGGGAACTCAGTCCACTGCTAACAGGACACAATTAGGTCAATAAAGAAACACAGGATTGTTATTTAACTGCTTTTAGTGCATGGTACACATGGCTTTTTATCTAATGTTTCAGGAACTAAAACCTCCTAGTTGAAAATCTGAATCTCAAAGTTACCAATTATAAAAACTGATATTCAAAGTTGTCCCCACGTTAATAAATAGTTTTCTAGCAAACATGAACAAATATGGAGTAAAATGTAAGAACATAAACACAACCAACTAAGATCCCCTAAAGGCATCTAGTCTGAGAGAAAAGACAAAGGACGAGAAAAGACGAGTGAGTTGAGTTCTGTAAATTGACCTCATCTTTATTTCATGTCTACCTCATGATCAGTTACATAGAAATCCTCCATCTTGTGTGGTTTTAGTGAAATAGCTACAGAGCCAAGTGCTGTTCGGCAGTGACTCCGCACAGAGTTTAGACAGCTGCTTTCTCTCTCCACCGTCAGACGCTGCACATCTCTCTACAGCCAACCTGCAACGTGACCTCAGAACATCAATAACCCGGGTCCTAATCTAAACAATGACTTCACCTGCTGGAGAATATTTACTCTCCTCCAGGAAGCAAATCATCACGTCCTCCGTTCTACTAAACACTGATGTTCAGTGATCACGTTGAGGTTGATCTGAGGTGAAATGCAGTCTGACTTTTGGATAAAACGCACCTTTTAGTGTCAACTTTTGGTACAGGAGGTTAGATAACATAAAAACACACATTTCACTTCACGTTTGAATACGTGTCAGGGGACCTTCCCACTTTGACACCTGGTTAACCTTCATTTAAAAACAAACAAACAAAAAAATCAACAGTGATGTCACACGTCAGCTTAGTGTGTGTAGTGTATGCGTGTGTGTGTGTACTTAAGTGTGTGTGCGTGAGAGTGTTGGTACACCCAAACAAGTGTGCTGTGTTCTGATCAGTGCTTTAGCAGACACTCGATTAGGGGGTCAGTTATTTGTGTTACTGGCTGCGTCGCAGGAGCGGCGCGGGGGGGGGGGAATGAGGCCTGCTGCATTTTCTTCATTCGTTTACAAGACTTCTTCACATGATGCGGAGACCCTGGATAGATGCTTCTAGACTCTGAGGAGGAAAACAAAAACCCACAAGGAAGTTAGAGACACGAGATCTCAAAGAAATGATCCGTGTAGAGGCGATTTATGTCATTATACCTTGAAGTCCCAAATGGTCATTGCTCCATCGATGCCTGTGGTGCAGAACTTGCGACAATCCTTTTTGTCTCCTTCATAGATAGACACTTGGCTATGGACCAGACATGGAAATACATAAAGACAGTTTAATGGGAGTAAAGCCAAGGAATGTTTATTTATATAGCACCCTTCAACACAAGGCAAGTTAAAGTGCTTTACAAAAATGAGAAACTGAACTGAAATATAGAAATTATAACATACAGCAAATGATGATGATGGATTTTATTATACTGCCCTGACAGCGGTACTGATCCTAAATGGACCTCTCTTAAAGATATGAGATTGGGCGCTATGGCTAAAATCAGCCATAAAACTACAAGATGCTGCTTTTAGAACTGTTTTTATTTTTCAATTGGGTAAAAGCTTATGGTTGCACATTACAACAATTTTAGAGCAAATAGTCATCTGCTTAAGTTAAGGAAGGTAAGTTGCAAACTCCTAAACAAACAGTTACTTAAAAGGTAGGGTAGGTAAGAATGGAGAAACCAGCACGAGTGCGCTAGAATTTGAAAATACACAACCGGAAAAAATCTGCCCCTTCCTTCAGATTTCCTTACAGAGCCCCTCCTCCAACACACACGAACATGACCAATGAGGGCACGAGATAAGTTTGTGCACAGATGGAAGGCTGACAGGCAGGTAGGCCATCCAGTTATTTTAGCCGGGCCGGCTAAAATGATTGGTCGTGCTTTTTACAGTACTACGGCTTCCACAGAGGACATTTTTGTATGGATTTTTTGTCAAAGCACTTCAGATATTCATTGCTATCGGGATGTTAAGAGTATTCCATGGAATATAACAAAAAGTGTATCTCGAGCCGGTTTCTCAAACTTACCCCACCTTTAATCGTTGATACATCAGGTGATTATTTTCCATCCCAGCTTTCTCAAAGTCCATTGTGATGTCTTCTATTGTTTTGCCAATACAAGACCTGAAATATATTCCTTTTAAAATGATATAAAACTGGTAAAAGCACGAAAAAAATATATCCAAGAAGCTTGAAATAGCATGTTTAGTGTTGTCTGTGTGAAAAATGACTAACTCAAAGCACTTGGCTATTATATTTCCATCGATCAACAAATCAATTAGTTGACTAATCCCTGAAGATCTAGACATTCATTATACTACTTTATTCACTGAGGCTTAGGGATCAACAATTGTTGAACAGTTTAGATGACATCACTCCCCAGACAGTAGAAATAATCCAGACAGAGGCAGACAGCCCATGATTACAACACCGCTCGTCTTACCTGCTTTCACTCAGGTTTATTTTGGCTATAACTCAGGGGTAAAATCAGGGAGTCGATAGATTTGTAGGGATTTAAAAAGGACTTCTTAGCCGCCGTCTGCCAAGAGGATGTCAAATGATGACCATCCGGAGGAGAAGAACAGAGGGTCGGGAGCTCTCTGTAGTTAGACTCAGATTTATTAGATACAGGCTTTGAAGAAGATGCATATCCGAAATGTCAGCCTGCTCATCTGCTCAATAAATCTCCAGAGCAGACTACAGCCCTCTCATCCTCTCTTGTTCTTTGGTTAGTCATCCTTTGATGTACCCTTGGTCACAAGTAAAGGAGTAGTACGTAAATACTGTCTGGGTACACCTTTTAAAACATGATTATTGGCTTTGTTATTGTCCATAAAAAAGACTGTATGACATTGTTTTGTTTTGTTCAACTCTGGAACGTTAGTTGTAGAAATGCAACTTGTAAATACAGTTTGATGCACGGAAAGAAAACAGGATGAGCTAATAGAGATACACAAACGTTTTTTCCCCCTATAGTTTGTCTAGCAATTAAAAATGAGCAGCCAGTATTTAATTTTCTGTCAGTTAATGAATTTTAAATCTCACGAGAAGGTTTTGAAATTGATCTGACACACCTTGGTGACTTTGGAGAAACATCACCTGACTCATAGTTTTCATTTGTCAAAACTTGCATCATTTCAGTCACTACTTTCTCAACATGCGCTGTGTCGTCAAGCTGCTAATTTCCCAAGTTTTTACAAGACTTGAAAAACACTTTTACTCATGATGATGATACCCATTGATGAGATCCAGTTTGTTTGACATTTGTCTCAGTAATATTGAGTCAGACCTTCAGACAGAGCTTCACATGCCTGCAGTTGTCGGAAAGGCATATTCCCAGGAATGTCTATGAGCTCATTCCCTCTGCAGTAGAAAAATCGTACTCAAACTCAGTGACTCACCCTGCAATTGGCTCGGGAAATGAAAGAATCAAGAAGTGGGGCAGTGGGGATACAAGGACATCCCCTGATAAATGGGAGAGGTCATTTCTGTCAGTGGGTCGTCCAAATTACTTCTTCATTGTTGAGGCTGATACGCTTTAGACCCTGATCTGTTAGTTATTGACTGTTCTCAGTTATAAGTGTGTGAACATATTGTTTTACAAGCCCCAAAAGCCAGTATATTTGTGTTATCATTTATTTTTAGTCACGCTAGTTAGTGGCTCTATGGATGTCAAAGTCAGTCTGTCTGTCAGTCAGTTGGTTTACTAGGGAAATTGTCTCGACTGTTGGACTGCCATGAAATTCGTTACAGATGTTTGTGTTCTACATAGTTCAATTGTAACAACTTTGGTGATCCCAACTTTTATTGTGACAGTATTATGAGGTCTGAATGTTATTGTGTGCAAAACCTTTGCATTTAGTTTGGAAGAAGTATAACTAGTACTGTTAGAAATGTTATTTGGTCACATTTGCTGGAAAAAGCACATTTTGTAATGAACCAAATCAGAGTTTTGGTGTTGAAAAAAGGCCACATAAAAAAAAAAGCTACAACTAGGCCTAAGAGGGATACTGCCACATGGGGCAGTCTGTATTGCACCTTGTTTTCTGTATTCACGTCACCTTGTTTTTCGTTTATAAGTTAAAGTTTTTATTTTCTTGTAGGCTATGTATTTAGAAAAATGTATAAAGTAAGAATAATTAGACAGTATGACGATGTCAGGTAACCTGTTTCGCTGATGGTACATTTTCGTGTTGACTTTTGATTAGGTTTTTGGTTGTAACTTGTAAGCAGCTGTGATTGACAGACCATCTATTTTGTGTGAGAGGGAGTTAAAATAAGACTTCTCCCTGCTCCTTTCCATCATGGGGTACAAAAAAACTGCTTAAAGTGTACATGTTTTGTTATAATAATTGCCATGAGTGGAATACTACTATTTATTTATATAGATTTTTAAAATGTTTCACTTGCATAGTACAAAAGCTAAGAGAATCAGTAATAATAGTCAGTGATGAATAGGCTACAACTTACCTTTGTGTCAAGAGCCAGAAGAGGAGGAACTGAAAGAAAGTGACATGTAGAAAAATCATGGAAACAGCGATGCATACACCACCCTACTGAGCAACTTGTGGAATATGTATAGTTAGCCCCGTTTATACTTGCACCGTTGAACAACAAGCTGCTTTTTGTGACTCACAGATGAAATGTCGCTGCGATAGACAGTATATCGCAGCACACTGCAGGCTCGGTCCACCCACCTCTCCGGGCTCCATGCTCCGTCCCCTCCCACTCTGCAGACCGGCTGAAGGCGGGCATGTGGAGCCGTAATCACACGTCACAGGCGGCTTCGTTATTTAAACTTGAATCGAGAGGAGTGGAGGAAAGTTTTCTCAGACGGGACAGCGTTGCCTAGCAGCTGGGCAGAGGACTCTCTACTTCACCTTTTTGTTTCCCGTAGGCTAAAACCGAGGCACCGCGGATATCCCCTCGTTCTATCTGCTTGTCATCCACATCTTTATAGCCAAACATGAGCCAGACCGTGACACTAAAGGGACCCTCTCCCTGGGGTTTTCGCCTGGTGGGTGGACGTGATTTCAGCACACCGTTAACCATCTCCAGGGTAGGTAGTCTGTTGCTTCGCTGTGTATCCATTCATTGAGCCGTGTGCAAAGTGGAGATTGGCTAGACAACACCATGATGACCATCCTGATTATAATCATTTAACCGACAATAAATAGTAAAAAAAGAAATGAAGGGAACGTTTAAGTGACTCTGTGAAGCTGGAATACTTTGCCAATAAATTATTCTTCAATACATTTTCGCCAAGGTCTAGTATAGCAGTGTGCATGGGGCAGTATGAACAGGAGCTGACAGACGGTGCCGTCTAACTCCTGGCAGCTGAAGTTGCCAGTACAATTTAGTGAGTCATTGCAATTTGCCGACCATAGAGTAACATCTTTCACTATCCAAAGCGAGGGAGGAAAAAAAGCAATATGGTAGTATTGCCTCATAATTTGTCAATATGAAGTAAATAAAATACAGTTTTAATATTGGTATTTATTATTTTTTTCCAAAATGTCCCCTCCTTCAAATAAGGATTATTGAAATGTTTGAACAGATGCAGGAAATGGCATTATAATAATAATAATAATAATAATAATAATAATAATAATAATAATTATAGGCTACATTGGATTTTGATAGCGTTTTTCCTAGCGCTCAAAGACGCTTTACATAAAAACAGAAACGGTAAAAAACAAAACAAAAAATATAAACAGTCGTCCTTGAGAGATTTTTTTTTAAGGATTCAAGAGTGTTGGCCTTTCGGATCATGATTATTGTGTTATTTTGATGATATTACCTGTTAAAGTGCCACCTAGTAGTAAAGGTAGGGGTAGTGGTTTTCTTGAACTTTCATGAACCTCAGAATATGGGTCAGAAGCGAATATGCTGGCAGTATCCAATAGTTCACCCCGGCCAGGGTAAACACAGCCCGGACCTGCTGCAGGGCTTGCAGAAGGAGAAAGGGGGGGCTGCTGACATTTGTTTTTCATCAGAGCTCATTGGTGCTGCTGAGGGATTCCAGGTGTTGTGCTCAGCTGTACCACCAGCCCTAAACAGACCCTTTAACTACAGGGCCCTAGCACTTCAAACTAGACATGTAATTTCTCGATTTACGGCTGCCGATTAACGACTTTGAGAGAAACAGACAAACCCTGAAGGTCACCTAAAGTGCTCTTTTCTTCAGAACCTATCCCTTCAAAGGAGTTTGTGAGGCAATGGTGAGGCATAATTTGACTCAGTGTCTGGCAGTGTGTCACTTGCTTGCTTATTTGGCGCCTTTGCTTCTTCAAAATGCCAGAAAGTTGCATTTTTGCAACTTTAGAAATGTCTATGGACAGATCACTCACTTCATACTTGATCTTCATGTTTGAGTTTGTGACCTTGTGCACGGAGTAGAGTTTCCATCTGAGACCATGCTGAAGCCCAGAGTAATTTGGAAAAATCTACACTGCAGGCTATTGCAGCTCTCTTGTGTTTCATGCTGAATTTGAAGTCAAAATGTTGCCAGCTTCAAGGCATCTCCGGTTTTGTGATGCATACCATCCTAACTGCTTTAATCATTTGGTCAGCATGCAAGTTGTGGTTTCAATTTGAGTGATTGAACAATTGTTCAAAAATGTTGCTATTTCTTTGCATACTTGTATGACTGCCAATGTTGAAACCATGACATGCAAAGGGAAGTCCTTGCATTGTGAACATTGTATAACTTTGCAATAATGGCATCAGCGAGAATAATTACAGGTTACACTTTACAAACAGTTGCATGGCGAGACTGGCAATAAAACCAATGCTGACATGGAATAGATGCTTGTAAAACGAAATAGGGGAGTTTTGACTAATCCCTAAATCTTGGCGTGACATTTAGAGAAGGAAGCAGCTGGTGACATGCAAACATTCATCAAAATATGTAATATCAGCAGCATAAATTCACACAGTGATTTGGCAGTATGACCCAGAATTACCTCCCAAAGACTGTTCTCTCTACCTGCCGTCCAGAGCAGTTCAGTGTCCAAATGATGTCACATGCTGCAGAAACACCAGATGACAACACAAAATGTGTTTTATTGGCCGAACTTGATAATTGTTTTATCCTGGGGTCTAATATGCTGGTTTACAGAAGTCAATAAATCACAATTATATTCATGGGGAAGTTATTAAAAATGGTGGGAAAGAATCCTCGTGCCTCACCATGGGAGCTGGTTGTATTCTAAGTTTGAGTCCCGGTGTGATTCATTGCTGCTGATGTACTGGAGTATCTCCTAAACTCGCTATTCATCACAGGCTTGCTACATTCTTGCTGTACAGTGCGTGCTCAAGACGGCAATTACAATGTGTTGAATGGTGACACAGAAAGAGAAACATGGAGGGAGAGAGTGTGTGTTTCAGAGAAGGATAGTTTATGTGATAAAGTATCCAAAATGCCTCTTCAGGGAGGCTTAAATATCATGTAAACCTGCAAAACTCTGTGAAGGTTGTAAGAGTGCCTGCTGGCTGTTTGTGACTAGAGAAGGTAAGGTTTAAGACTGCAACGAAACACAAGACCTTCTTTTATTTTATGCGCTATCCTTACATCATTCCTCTACTTTGCACCATTGACAGATCTCCTCCCCTATTCTTAAATTCCCTTATATTAAAGCGAAGAAACACCTGCACTCGGAGACAGTGAGAGTTGTAAATTCCAGTAAACAAGTTGTGATGGCAGCTGCTGCTTTTCCCCTTAAGGTGATAATGTTCCAGGATAAGCCCATTAGTCTCCTGCCAGCCCGTTAAGACTTTAGCCAGTTAATGACGTGTCTACTTGACTCTTGAAATATTTGTGTGTGTGTGTGTGTGTGTGTGTGTGTGTGTGTGTGTGTGTGTGTGTGTGTGTGTGTGTGTGTGTGTGTGTGTGTGTGGTAAAAGGTGTTATGTGCATGAGACAGAACAAGTGGCAGAGAAACACAAACATAATAAAAACCAATGATGTAGCGGGTGGAGCATTTAGAGAAGATCCGTTGGATTTGTAAGGACGTGTCAAACCGACGTCTAGGCAGAAGGTGACGCAGGACACTTGTCCATCCTGACGATTGTCAAACAGTCATTTTATGGACATGGAAATTCACAACTAAGTGTTAGGTAAATAAGGACCCGAGCCGTGCACAGAATCACTGTCCAGCTTCCCTTCTGACACCTTTTTGCTGTTCTTCCCTCTGTGTGGTCTGGCTGGTATGTCCATGCATGATGGGAAATGGTCTGTCACTTTTAGACTGTCAGTGCATTTAGAAGGTTGTTTCCGCAGGCAACTTTCTGCCATTTTTGTGACTTTTAATAATCATTAAATGTCAAAGAAAAGTGAAATGTGTCCATCCCAAACCCCAATAAGACATCTTCAGGGTGCTTGTTTTGTCAAATATCTTGTCCAAAACCATAGTAAATAATGATTATAAAGCAGAGAAAAGCATACATCTATAAATTGATGCTGTCCCAAATCAACTACTTTAATATCATTCAATATAATGAAAAGAAGCAAATCCCCACAATGAGAAACCGTTTGGCATTTTATCTTGAAAAAGTAGTTTAATTATTAATCCATTATCTTATCAACTCGGCAGCACCTGAGGGCTTATTTTTCATAGAGTATCTTTTTTATTACACCTGTTGTAGCTTATTTTATCTTACTGCTATTTACGGCTTTTTCTTTGTCCATATTAACGGATCAAAGTCTAACCTCAGACAGGCAGATATCTTATCAGTGTAGGATGAACGGGGATTTATCTTAAAAAAATTCCTATGCCCATATAAACATCCAAGGGGTTATATTAGTTTATGTAGTTATTCCTCCTCTTCATACTGGCTGTAGAGATACCCCGTCTTAGGTCATTTCAATGTAAAATGTCCTCACAGAAGTGTCCCTTTACCACAAGCTTAGTGAATTTGCGAACTTATCTTTTAAAAATCAAATACAAAGGAGAGATAGAGAGTCAGAGTAATGTAGAATCGGTGAAATCCTTGTCATGTCTCATACTATTCTGCTGCATATAGGACTTCTGGAATGTGTCAGAGTTTGAAGTAAGTCTTGTAATCCATATTTGCTACGGGCATTGGAATCATAAAGTAGGAACACATATTTTAGGTTGCATCAGCAGTAGTATAGTCAATGAACTCAGTGCCCCTTGTACCCTTTTAATCTCCCTGTCTAACTTCTCCGAATACCAGAGACAGGACATGTGACCCAAAGCCACATGGGTTGTTTCTGTGACGCTGCTGGACATAATAGTATGCTTTAGGCTTTTCTCCGGCAGCTCTTTACTCTAAGGCTAAAATTACAGATTCTACGAGCTGCTTCCCCTCAACCAAATGAGCAAAAGATAACATGGCACTCTCCAAGAATGTCCTGTTGTCAGTGAAGCTTTGTGGTTCCTGAAGCAGTATGGGCCCGAGAACAATGCAAAAAACCTTGGGTTGTTGCTGAGCTTTTCCTGCCCATCTTGTTATCTGATGTATGTAACTGAGTCTCTGTGATTGATGTAAAAATGGAAGTGTGTGTGTGAGTACGTGCCGTGAAGACTATGGGCTGAAGGATTTGGAAGAAATTACAAATTGCAATTGTTTTGTTATGACTGTTTTTTGTTAAGCCTGTTGAACACGGTTTGTAGGACTATATATCGCTGTAGCTCCACAATACTTCCCTCAAAAATGATATATTTACACATTTTTGGCCTTTTTACACATATTGTTCTTCCTGCGGTTTGGATATTGCACTACTCAACTGTGGTTTTATAAGTATCGTAATAACAGTTTTCCAGATACACTTGACCATTATGAAAAACAGCAAGTTCTTATTCTTTGTCTATTTATTACGTTAAGTTAAGCACCCTGCAGTTTGACAATTTCTTCTCTCGCAGAGGAAGTCAGTTTTGATTAATGTGCTTTTTCTTGTGAGCTTTCATGCCAGCGTAGCATAGACTGCCGAGGATCTAAAACATGGTTCTTGGAAGGCTCTTAAAATCATGCCAAACATATTGAAGCATGACATGATGAGAAAGACTTACAGGAAACTCCTCCAGGAAAGCAGATCCCACATGCAAGAAACAGTTAGAATTAAAGGGATGACATCACACTTTTTGATCAGTAATATCATGCTCTTTCTGGATATTCACAAATGGATTACAGACTAATTAATTTCCAGTGAATCTCCCATTCTCATTTAACCCCACATAGTTAATTTTCAGCTGCTTGTTGCTTATTGGTCTTGGCAGGTTCTGCTTCTTTGTTTCAGTGTGGTAATCATACACCAGTCAGAACCTCACACCCTGGGCTGTGTAATGGCTTTCCACAGCGTCATCAAGGTCATATCCATGGTTATGGTTATCGCAGGTTCAACAAGCAAACAAAGGCTCTTGACACATTGCCAGCAATTATTCTCTGTGTTACTGAGACTCAGTGCTCCCGCCCAGCATTAGCTTCTCTGTGGGATTCACATGCATGAGGAAAAGATTGGAAGTAATGTTTTTTTTTCACAGCTCTATGACTTTTTCTAGAATTACAAGAGTTTATAATTATCTAATTTTGAAGTGACTGTGGTCATTTTAATATGTGTATGCAGACCAGAAGCTGGGAGTTTTGCCATCCTGGGTCAATCTGTGTAACTATTAAAGTCAAGAACCTCCAAAGTTAGATTTGTCATCGAGCCAGGATGATGATACAAGAGAATACTATACGGCATAAATGTTAATGCATCACGTATAGTGCTATACACTATAACCTTCACACATCTTTATTATTTTCTTTGCGGTCTCTCGTTCATGCTCAAACAAACAGAAAAACATGAGCGCCCACAGTGAAACCACACTGTAGCACACACTCAGGCCTCAGCGTGCCACAGGATGAATCTTTGTGACATGAGGCTGTCATTTGCTAACCGCGCTATCTGTTAGCAATTAACTTTGTCACTGCATGTGGAGCAGCCCCCTTATGGAAACTGTGTGTCTGTTTGGATTGCCCAACAACCAGTAAAGTTGCTTTCCACACAATCACCATTAAATCCTTCTTGGTCTTGATCTTATGTGACCTCATCACAAATGAGCACCATTTTTCACCATTGCAACTTTTATAGTTTCAGAGAAACAAAGAACATCCCTTTTTGTTGTTGTGATCAAATTCCACAAATATCTGCTGTAAGAAAAGTGGTCTAGCAGGTGAAAATGGAATTGATTTCATTTCAAACGATCTCATATGAAGTTGCTATTTCCAGCAAAGTTTGTTAATTTTGTTGAATTTATTGTTTTTTTTGTTCCCCTTTCACACCCATAGTGGTTTAGAAACCACTTCACAATTATTCACCAACGTTTCAGTTCCATCTTCTGCCTCTGCCAATATAACACTTTATTATCCCATGGATAAGTCCTTTTTTTAAGACAGCCTTCATCTGTTATTTTTTACTTGTACTGTCATTATATCCAACAACATGAAGTGAATCACTCAGGTGTTGTTACCAATGGTTTCATGTGAGTATGAAGACTAAAATAAAAATGTTTGTGTGGTATTTAAAGCCACTTGCCCATGTCATAGAGTAAAACATACTGTAGATCTCTGAGTTAAACCATTACATCACTTTACATCTGCAGTGTATATATAGCAGATTATAATTATGTGGAGCACGTAACTCTGCCTACTTACATTTCCTTGCAGGCAGGAATGCTTTGTCCTCTAGTGACGACCTCAGTCTTGCCATTGTAGCACTTTGCATACCATTGAATGTGTGTGTGTGTGTGTTAGTGTGTGTGTGTGTGTGTGATTCATGCCCTACTCATGGTCTGACCCTGAGGTGGCATAACTCACTCTTGCTTGTGTGTCTTTTGGGGGTGCATGAACTTCGGTCCACTATGACACAGCCCATGCACAAACCCAAGACACACACACATACACATACACATACACACCACATCATAAATGCGTTCTCACCAGGGAGGTTGTGCAGATTAGTTTGGGGTAAACTATAACCTCTAGTTAGTGAATGTCAACAATGGAACTGAATCCGTTACATTTATGCTTTTTGTCTTTTTAAAAGACTCCATCTGTAATTTTCCTTACAATAATTCCTGCTCAATATTGTGGTTTATGTTCGATTTCCAACATTGCATCGCATCAATAAAGTTACTTTACTTTCTCCGTAATTCAAGTACACATTACACATTTCCCACAAGGCCCCTGACCTCTGAGTTTACCGGAACTGAGTCAGGGACATTTGGGCGGTCAGAGGCTGTAAATTAGGAATTCCACATCTGAACCACACGACTCAGCTATTAGTGCTTGATGGAGCGTGAACTTGTGTGCCTTTGCTCTTAAAATACTCTTCCCAAGTTAGCAAAGCTGCTTGTCTTGCACAAACTGATATTTTTCTCTCTTTCTGGGTTCTGTTTATCATTCCAGTCAATCATATCCTAATTTATCTAAGATTACTTATGTCTGTAAGACAAATACATACAAAAACAATACATCTCAATGCACAGCTGTCAATGTAATAACAAGATGTTGTGGGGTCAAAGAAAGGTATTCACGTAGAAACTTAGATGACAAGACAAAGATGAATCACTGACACTTGACATGTTAGGTGTTCATTAACTTGAAAATCTTCCTAAATGCTCTGTTCCCTGTGTGGTTATGGGTACAGGTAGTCATTTTAGCCTTTTAGCTCTTTGGCATGTTACAAAGTGCTGGAATCCATCCTACGTTGTTAGGATTTTTGAGATTTCTTTCTTTTGTTGTATCTGTTTCTCAATTAAAAAATTGTGTCGAACAAAATATTAATCTACAACTACAATTATCAAGTCTTTAAAGCAGAAATGTATGTGCCAGCCTTTCTTTTTGATTATTTTCTGGGTTTTTTCTGTATTATACAATTCAAATGAGTTTTTATTGATTGTTGGAAAAAAGCAATCTTAAAATATCCATTTTTTTTTTTACCATTTATATAAACAATATAATTAATCAAGTAAATAATCAGAACTTTATTCGATTCATTCGATAAGGAAAATAGTTGTTGCTGTTCTTGTAGGCGCTTCTCTTGTCTTTGCAATTTCAGCCAGGTACTCTTGCCAGCTGCCGACAGCTGTTGCCGCTGCTAGATTTATAAATCTTACTCAATGCATTGTAAACAGGAAATGAATACTGAGTAACTATTGTGCTTTTTCAATTTGCAACAGAGAGGCCAATCAAACTCTTAGTTAGGCGGTAGTAAAATGTCATAGACTATTGCTTAAAATTCCTCCTAAAAACAATGTGACTACAACAATTGCATCCAGCTGCCGAAAATCTCCTCACTTTAAATTGAATGAAGAGATAATATGGAAATGGTATATGGAAAACAAATCCACGTCATAGCTTCAAAGCAAATTGAGTGTACAGAGAAGAACGATGACGTGATTACAAATGTTGGCATTTTATTACATTTTAGTTTTTTTGCTGTCGGAGTATCCTTCTTTGCAGCTTGCTGCCATATGATAGGGACTGTTTCACTGTGGATATCTTGGTGTGACAAAGGAAGATTTAATGGGTCTTTTCACGTTATTTGTGTCAGCCAACAACCAACTATCAGAGGCAGGCCTGGAAATAGCCATGACATTTGTGTGTGTAATAATGGAAAATTGTTATCAGATGTTGCTTAGTGTGCGGGTATGTGTGTGTTCCCGTATTACCAGTTCCTACTCCCGCCTTTGCCTTACTTGATGGCTTTAAATGTCCACAGACTTTTGAGTGGATTTCTGGAATAAGAAATCACAGAAAGAAACCTGCTTACTGTCCAGGGGCTCAAAGATAATCTTCCAAATTAAAGCGATGTGGACTTATGCATCAATACAGGCCAAGTGAGAAATCTGAGAAAGCTTAAAGAACTTATTGAGCAAATGTTTGTAAATGAATCTAACATTACATAGAGAAAGGTTCAAAGTTCCTTAATGCAAACTCTGTTAGCTTACTTAAATATCCACCAGAGATTCAGGCTGATGCAATTGCTGAGTGAACGTTTTTTTTACTGAATTTCAAAGACCAGGCGTGTAAAAAAAGTTCCAGTTCTTTCCAGACATTTCACCGCCTTCAAACTCTGAGTGGCTTCACACTTCTGAGTGTCGCTGCTGGCTTTTGAAAATGTAAACCTAGAGTGCTGCCCAACGCAATATCACATCAATCAAAAGAGAGCTGCTTTTTGTTGTATTTGGCCTCTGTGTTGACACTCCCACGCTAATACTCTTTTCTTGTTTTTCTTTCTTCCTGACAGTTTGACACCACTTATAACGGCTCTTTCTTTTTCTTTTTCTTGGGTGTGCTTGGATTGCTTTGTGTGTGTGTGTGTGAATGATTCCTGTAGGTAACACCAGGCAGCAAGGCGGCCCAGGGCGACCTGTGTCCAGGCGACACCATCTTGGCCATCAATGGCGACAGCACGGAGCTCATGTCACACATGGAGGCTCAGAACAGGATCAAAACCTGCACTCAGCAGCTTACACTCGATATCAGGTAACACAAGACTGTCCTTAGAGAGCATTAGTCATCTGATGAAACTCTTATACCAACCTACAGAATGTGTAGATTTCATCATCATGATGTTGCTGTTGCACCACAAACCCCCTTATGCTGGCAGTAGACATGGATCCATATAGGCGCAAAAAGCTTCTACTTTTATACCTCAGTTTGAATCATAATGATCAACATCTTTTTTTTTTGTTGACCTTAAAGGGGAGTTCAACAGATTTTACACATTTTGGTATTTTAAAAATTATTTTAAAGCACTTATAAATCCTTTTTTTGCCGTTTGAAACACCTCTGAGCTCAGGGCTAAAATAGCCGCTGTTTCCATTACACAATTAAATTGTCTGAACTGCCTGCATTGCATTGTGGGTAAATAATATTTAACATGAAAAAATAATGTGTGGAGTAAAAATCTGAACTGACAATGCTCCCACAGTCAATTGTTGTAATAATCATACGGAAGGCCACACACATACCAATAATGATGATGTATTTAGTTTACTATGTGACAAGCATGTAGTCTACTGTATGGCTAATGTAATTGCTTGCAGATGTGTAATTTAGAGGCGCTTGCTTCTTTAGAATATGTGACAAACTGTACATGAAGCCAGTTTTCCACACATGAAGACTGATGGGAATTTTGGTGTTCAGAATAATTGGAAATCAGTAAATTATTCCAACATTAGTCACTGAGTCAACGGTCGTCCCTTTTTTGTCAGCAGTGGCTGCTTTTGGTTTTAGTTTTTAAGCTCATTAACTGCAATTTTTGGGAAATACGTTTTTGTGACAAAGGTGATTTACTGCCTGTGGTCCAGGAACACATTGTTTCTATTTCGGGTCGATTGCTCAGCTTGGTACAGTGGAGTCGGTTTAAAGGAATCACTCTCTGCTCCTATAGAGCGCTGTCAAAGTAAATGAGGCTTGCGCATACAGTGAGTCACACAGTGACCTTTAGAAATGGACTTCACAGGTCGATGTTGCTCATTTTGCCAGGACATAAGGCTGGAAAATTAACTCCTCAACATATTTCTTAGGCCATGTAAGGATGGATGATTCGGCCTAAAGCGAAGGACAGAAGCAACATGTTTCTGTCAACAGGAAATCATCCATCTAAACAGTTAATGACAGGGGGAGGGGAGGGGGGTTAACCAAGGAAAAACTGAAATGTCAGTTGCTTCCCACATTTCTATTAGATGGTTAGTGTAGCCAGCTTACTGGAAAGTGCAGAGCGAATCTGGCAACCTCTGAATCCCGTCCTCTCAGATGAAGAACACTGTGTGGTTTAGCCAAATGGTGCCTCAGCTCTGTCCTTTTAGGGCAGCAGACAACACAGTCTCTTTCCTGTAATGGTTAGGAGCACCATGTTGACTTGCAGATGTGGTGGAAATAAGAATAAATCCCGGAGTAATCTGACCTGTCGGATAAGCAAAGCTTCACACATGCTGCAGGAACCTACATTCAGACAGAGAAGCACTTTTCTCTCTCTCCTTTATTTCCACTGTGTTTGTGCTTTATAGTATGCACTCTAGCATGCAACAGACGTCCCTTTCCCCACAGACTGTAGTAGAAGCCATCCATCCATATATCAAGCTGAGCGTTAAGTGGTTTATCCACATAGGGATGGTTAATTTATTTAAGGATACATAAAGTAGTATTCAGCGCAAAGACTGGGGAAGCTCTTCTGCAGCTGCATGACCACAAAAAAAGGAACTCCCTCACTTAGCCCCTTGCACCTTAACTTCGGCTTCAATCTTCCTTTAAGAAGTCAAAATTGTTGGAGACATTACAGCATGTAATTTAGTGTGATTAAATAAAATAACCACAAGTAAACCACCAGACAGTCATGTTGTTCATCAACCCCCCTTAATTTTCCATCGAAACTGATGAGATAGCAACACAGCAGACGCAAAACAAGGTTATCTGCTGGTATGTGACCTTTCCACAGTTTATTGCTTGAATAATTACAGTCTGAACTGCCCTGCCGCTGGACAGGAGCAGGGTAAGGCGTGTCTGAGAGATAGGCATGCACCTTTGGCTCCAGAGCGCTGAGCTGAAATGAACTGCTGGTGAAGGGCAGGGCAACAGGGGTTCAAGGAGAAGAAAAACAAGGCTTTAAAAAATGGATATGATGTTTTAGGCTAGCAGACAGATAGGAGTTGAATAAAGGCATGGCTTGAAGGTGTGGATTATGAGAAAAGACAAAAACAACAATGGTGGAAAGAGAGCAAGACAAAGAGAAGTCAAAGCCAAATAGAGGAACGGTGAACCAGAGTGACTAAGTGAGAAATCCACATGGCCTCTTCTCTGCCTCGACTGCTGGTTTACTGCCAACATTTTCTGCTGGGTACATTGATGGAAATTCAATTACCCAGACAACACAGTGAAGCAATAGTTGAATTTCTTTCCCTGAGATAGGGGACTTGCGTCACCACAAGTTTTGAAATAAAGTGAATATTAATAGAATATCCCAACTGGACACTATGAAAACACAAGATAAAGAAACAAGACTTTCTCACACACACTTTAAGTCAAATATATATTTCAGGCTGTTTATAGGTTCAATCTCATTCCAATTCTGTTCAATCCATAGCCTGGGGATTAAAGTGTTACATTGGGTGTCTTTAACATCCAGTGTGAGGTAGCTTTTGGCAGGAATAAAGCTGCACAGGAAGTTGGGATAATAAACGGCAACGGTCACTATGACAAGGCAGACAAACAAAAGCCGCCCTAATAACCTCAACCTTCATCAACAGGATGAAATAGGTCATGGTTTTGGCCTCTACTTATTAACCGCTAAAACACGATTCAAATATTGACATAAAAACGGCACAATACAAAGCAACTCTAAGGCAGGTTTTCACATTTTCAAAACCTTGAAAATGTTCCCTCATTAAGGCAGTATGTTCTCCATTTAAACATTAAAATCCATAGAATGGGGATCTCCTATTCATTTGAACTTAGTACTTAGGTTATTTATTGAAGGAGATTGGTTTTATTGGAAACACCCCTCAGTTGTGGAAATAATGGAGTAAACTAAAAGAGAAAAAGAAAGTTGGGAGTGACTCAAATAACTCACGTTGACTCACTAGAAAATAATATTTTAGAGGTCACCACTTCTCAGCCCTCCATTAAAAGCGTAGCTCATAAAGTACTCGAAACAGACTCAGAGTCGTAGAGGGAGAAACGGGAGACCTATAATTTTGTGTTGCTGCCGATAGACAAATATATGAGTCTACACGTCTGCTGAGAACCAAAATTACAGTATACTGGATACATCTGAGTTTGAGGTCTTGTATAACACAAGAATGTTCCTTTGTAATGTCTTTGCATTTATTACTTCACAACCCCCATTTTTTCATAACTCCTATTACCGGGCATTTTGAAAAGTGCTCCACATCTGAAGTTGGTGTCCAAGAAAGCTCTTGAAAGCTACATTTGAAAAAAATAAGCTTCATTAAAATTCAGCCCTGTAGTTTTTTCCCCATGAATGCGGTCATTTGATGAACATTTCACCTTTCAAATTCTCATATACTGTCATAAATGTCAGTTCTCCCGGATTTTCTTCTTTTGTGTAATTTACAGGCAATTATTTCTACTGACTTTGATGTCACCTGTCCTTTCCTTCTTGCGCCACTATGATGTTGACTTTTGTGGTTATTACATGCAAAACAAAGGACATTTAGTTCTCAAAGACAATTCTTCCAAAATAAATTAACTTATTTTGCGTTGGTGTTCCTTCCATGATAATAAAAAGGTCTCTATCTGCCACCAGAGCTCAGTTTTGTTGTGGCGAAGAAGGCCATAGCAAATTATCATATCATAGTCAGACTTTCATCTATCCATGTACAGAAGACAATTGATGCAGAAAATGGAAAGTATGGTACATTAAACAATGACTCTTGTATTCTTGGTCTGTAAATACAGCAACCAAGTTACGAGAAAGATTAGAAGATAAAGGAAACACGTTAATTGGGGAAAAAACAGAGAAAGAAAGACAAGGAGAGTCAAACAGAAAGAAAGTGCTCTGAGGTCACCGCTGCTTTACCACAGCTTTCCATTTCATTCAGGCCTTTCTACTGATCCAGGCCTGTCAACGCTCCACTGTGAGGTGAAACACCCTTGCTATTTTCTGTAAGTTCTTGGCTTCAGTTATTAAATTGAGCTGTGTCATCTCGCTGAGAAGGAAAAATGTCCGCCACCCCCACCACAGACACGTACACTATCCAAGTTCATTGTAATGTCAGAGGACTCGGACAGACACACAATGGACTGTGTCATGTCTGCTTTGCTTGGCCTTTATTTACTCTGACCTAAACTTAGTCTTTGAGCATGTGAACCAGCTGTGGTAGAAACCTTTTCTCCTCTATTTCCTCCTTGTTGTTCTTTTCATGCTCATCCTTTGATTTCTCCATCAACCATTCTTCCATGATTTCTCCAAACCTAATTCCTTCACTAATGCATCATGTCTTTTTTATATCTCCCTTCATCTCACTCTCTTCCAACCTGCTTTCACCTCCCTGCTGTTTCTCTACGTTTGCCAGAGCCTATTGGAGAAGGCCATGTGGTTTAGAGGCCTGAGAGACAGATGATGGCGGTTTGGATGTGTTTCCACCGCTGGTCAGGCAGTTCGGAAAGCATCATGCTGGGGTGGCAAGTGAAATGTGCTGAGAAATGAGTCATGTTGTCTGAGCTGTGTGTGTTACTCTGGCTGTGTGTCTTGTTCATGTGAAGGAAGGACACCCTGCTGTGTTTGTTTCAGTTTAACTCACTGTTGAAAGGAAAATGTATTAGCTTCAGGTCGGATGGAGATGCAGATAGTTATAGTTAAAAGGACCAGTTCACCCCAAATAACACAGAAACATGTTAAAACATACCAGTTATTGGAGTCATTTGTGCAACTCAAAACACTAACAATGACATTTAGAAAACTATTCTATTCTATTGGGGCCACAGAAGAACAAGAACATTGTAATAGGAAACTAGCCGTTTTTGTGTTTAAAGCAACATTTGCATTAGGTAATTTGGATTTAAATGAATCATTACGAATCATAGCAAAACAAAGGCAGAGCATAATGTGAAATCAGGGAAAACAAGCCGAGAAAAGACCTCTGAAGACTTGCCCCTGCTGCCTTTCTTTGACTCTCAGACCTGTGACTCACAGTTGAGGAATTATGCACGAGGCTGCATGGGACCAAAAGGAACACAGGACTCCAGCTGCGATGAAGACAAAAAGAAATACACACACTCACAGCGCTCCACTACAAGCTTCGCTGGATTCCCCTTCATCATCCCTTCATCGCATCATTCCTCTCACGCTCTCCCAAGGTCTCTTTCTTTTGTGGTGAACCATCAATAGAGTTTGAAAGGCTGTGAGGATGGGGGAGACCACAAACCTCCCTCTTCATCACTTGCATCGATCTTGTCATTTCCCAGATGGCGATCTTTTCAAGTGACACCCCAAAAGTGTTCAGATCAGACCCCCATCCTCTTTAAAAGGAGGTTGTCTACCTTCAATCTCAGGGGAGAAAACATTTAGACTCTTCTAACATAACAAAATAACAAAGGAACTCCTCCAGTGTTGGTAACGTATCATAGAAAAAACAATTCTGATGGGTTTCACAGAGCGAGGCATCGGGGCAAGTCTCTTCGGTGAACCCTGAAATGTTCAGTGATCAGCCGCATCTTAATTTGAGGGCATTTGGTTTTATAGCCTCGTGTCATGCTCCTCCTCGAACATGGTGATCCTCTGCAGCCAAAGTAAACTCGTCCAGCACTTTAAAAACCAGATATCCCCGATCAGGAAATTAAACCTGACGGGGGAGGTCAGGCAAGGGAAAATATGACCATAGGAAAGTGGTTCTGATGACCTGAGACTTTCTATTTTCTCTGCATGTATTGTTTTTCTTTGTTTCCCCTTGATTTTGTCTATTTTCCTATTCTTATTCAGACTTCTGACATTGGTAGTTTTTTTCCTTTCTTTTTATAATCCTAACAGTACTTTTATGGCCAATATTATGTGATCTTTTAAATCATGTCCTTGCTCTTTGAAGTTCCTTACGATGATAACTGTGACCATTTGAAAACAAAAACCAAGTAATTTAACAATATGAGAACATGTGGATCTATATTTCAGAAACGTGTGGTCTCTGAGTTTTCTTTGTCTTCCACTTTTATTTCCATTTATCTATATTCAATAATGTTCAAATCTGAACTATACAGTTCAAAGCAGATGCTGGATGAAAATCAAAGACAACACTTAAGGACTGAGCCTGGAACTACTCATTCCTGTCCTATTTATCATTTTGAAAATGTATTAAGAAAGTGCACCTAAACAGAGGAGGTAGAAGTAAATATGGGAAATTGATCATTCAATTTGAAAAAAGCTAGGAGGGTCTTTTATGGCTCAGGCTCGATTTTCACCTTGGATCTTATAAAAAAAAAAAAAACAGACGGAGGAAATAGAAAAACAAAGAAGAGAAGAAAAAAAAAAGTTAGTGATGATTCACGGGTTGGTGAATGTAAAGCAACAGCTGGATCCTGATTCCTCACCTACTGACTCAATACGTAACAACATGCTAAAGCGGTAAACAAAAAAACAATACAGTTCATTGTCCTTATCCAAAGTGGTGTGCACGAAAATGTTTCTTTGCTGTACTAATGTACATTTAAAATACTTGATTATGTCCATTGCTCAATATTTACAGTGTGACATCCAGTTGTAAACATGAAGCCTTATAACTGAAATCGCAGCCAAGAGGCTTAGCAGTCACGTAGCAAGTGGAATTAATCATAAAAACATTACTGACATCCCTCTTCAGAATGACCTAATGAATGCAACAGTGTAACACTGTAAATCCCAAGCTGGTCTGCCTCTCACAGTTTCCACCTATGCGTAGCCATTTAAATCTCCATTTAGATGGATGAACGCAAAAATTCCTTGTTTTCTGTTTTGCACTTCTGAAATGTCAATTCAAATAGGCCATTTAATACTGAGCATTTACTTGTTTCAATGGGCTGTTTGTGCGGTAACCATCGAAACCAAACAATCTGAGAACACGTCGGCTTTCTGGCGTTGGAGGGGCATGTCAGCCCACGCAGTCTGCCAGACACTCGTCGCCTCATAAGAGTGTCCTTGATAGCAACACCTCCGTGGTTCATATCTGAAGCATTGCCTCAGCTCAGCCAACGCTGTGCCAGCTGCAGCCTGATGACCTCACCTCTTCAGACGTCAATCCTCCCTCACTGTGGGGTCCATGGATCCATGCAGCACACTCACAGTTGATATTCATGTCCTATGGGTGGAAGTGTGAAAGAAAAGAGGGTAGATGCAGTGTCCTTTAGTAGATCTGCTTGATCTCCTGGTGTTACTCTTTTGGAAGTTGGATGCTTTCCCACTGCTGAGCCAACACCATGGATACAAAACCCACCCAACCCGTCGAACCAAAGAATTCCCCTCAGATATCTTTTGTTGATATGGCATGTAGACTGCCATTACTTTAACACATAACTTGAAAGTGAAAACGGATTGCAAGTGAAGCGTTGAGTGATGCCACTGAAGATTTATTGCTATGTTTTATCAGCATGGGAAATGTGTTCCACTCTATTAATTTCATCAAACCTTAGAATTATCTGGAAATAAAATATGTTGGTCCCTGCTTATGAATGCAGACTTGGCCCATTCAGCAGTGTTGTAAATAATGTTTTATCATTTCTGCCAGTCAGTACGTCATGTAGTTTCTTGTAGGGAAATGCAACTGGAGTCTATCACTTGTAATCCGAACAGAAGGGGGGGAAGCTTCAGATACTAGTAATTCAGTTATCACTCCTTTTGAAAAATCATGGCCCAAAATGCAATGTGTTTTTCGAAACATTTGATAGTTTGTACCCTTGAGTTATGATGTGATGAGGATTTTATCTTTGTACCAGAGGGAGGAGGCCAGAATGAGCTGTATCCCATTCCTAATGTGAATACCTGCCAAATGTACAAATCCAAATATTCACACACACACACCTTAAAATGGAAATACGAGTGCAGTATATGAATTTTTTTTTTAACTGCAGAGATTAGTGTTTTCTGCACATAAAGGGTACAGCAGTTAGCAGGATATCATGTAACATGAAATTGAATATCTTGAATCTCAATACAATTCGATCATCAAACGACTGTGAAGCCAAAGTCATTATATTTCCCAGCTTAATGTCATTCTTTTAGTATTTAAGTTAAATGTGTCTTGGCATTCCCTTTTTTTCCAGTTTCCTTTCAAACATTCCCACTCAGAAATAATGAAACTTTATACACTGGATATTCTGTGGAAAGGAAAATTCATACTTTTCAGCATAAACGACTGCATTCCTCAACACTTGGGTGTTGGATGGCGGAACACTTATCTGACTCTTTCTCTCATGGGTATTGTCTTTCAGGTCTGGATCGGGAGAGAGAGTGTGGTCGCCAACAGTTAGTGAAGATGGCAAGACAAGCCCTTACATGGAGCCCGACTCACAGGTAAACACTGTTTACTTTGGATTTATAAAAACACAAGTAACAATGGTTGCTCTACATTTCTATTCACACCCACTTGGATGCTATCAAAACCCATGTGCTTTTTTTGTGCTGAGTTTCAGTGCTCGGATGAAAACATGTTAAATTACTCACCAGACCAAAGAAAGACACAGAAAGAACCTGCACATTAGTTAAGATGGTGACGTCTTTCGTTGGATTTGTCACTTTTTTTTAATAGGTTTGATTGTCTCTTGCCTTGTGGGGAGACACATCAGGTAAAATATATATTTGAAACATACAGAGATGGGTTGCTGGTTCTGGTTGTGATTGTAGAAGGTCAGTTGTGATATATTATATTTAAAGTTAGGATTAAGGTTAGGGTTGGTTAGGGTTAGGTCCTATGAACAGGATCTTACACTGTAACTATTCATGAAATATCAGCTACAGCAAATTATTTGATTATATTCTACGTGTTTTACTAAGCTAAGCATGTTTTATGCTGCTCAAAAGCATATCTACTAACCAACCAGTTTCAAGCGCTAGGTAGCTTCTTGTGTTGCACACATTTCACTGGTTTGATTTATTGTGAACATGGTTTCAAGCCTTCAAAATCTACTGCTTTGTGTAAGGGTCCTTTTGCTTCGTACTGAATCAGCCACGAGAGGATCAATCAGATCATGGGTCATAACTTTAAAGTGCAGGTCTGTGCCTGGGTGTGAGACTCAAGTCGTCTCAATCTGTTTATACCACAAACAGAATCCATGGAAACAGCCACAACACTGGATCCTTAAATTGCATGTACGCTATTATTCACATGATATAAATGAGATAATGCGTCCCACTGTTCACTGGAATGGTTTTGAAATAGTATCTTGATTGTTCTTCAATCGTACGAGCTGCCAAATGGACGTCAAAGGCATGATGATCTTTCCCAAGTTTTCCAGTGCTGGCAAGCCAACAGGTTTTTTGAGCACAGAGAGAATAGGAGGTGTGTGTGTGTGTGAGAAGACTTTGTGACTGAAACAGACAAACAATGAGCATATTGTGGCTCCGACATGCGGGTGTCCATTTGTCATGTATTGTATTGTGGAAGTTGTGAAGTCTGGACTGATGTGTCTCTCAGCCCTCTCTGTGGCAGGGTCTCCTTGTCTGAAAAAGGGTGGAACAGACACACAAAGAGCTAAGTGAAATCCATCTGTCCACTCATCAATGGGAGTTTTGATGTCTTGCTTACAGGAAAATATTGTTTTCAGTGGCAGAGATGAAAGTCAAAGAAGCTTTAGCATATGTAATTCATCTTTGTTGTTGTGGCTGTGAGAGTAGAGTAGAATTCCCATCAAATGATATTTCACTCGCACACTATTGTATATTTTGTACTATATGTGACCTGCTCTATCGAAATCAGTCGCATTGACCCGAAGACACATTTTGAGTTGTATACACTGCTGGAAAGAGGATATTCCTAGCTTTCTAATGATATCAGGATTGTTTTTGTACTCCAAATATTAAGCGAAATATGTCACATTATATAATGACTGTCACCGAGTCATCATTTTGAGAAAAAGGCCTTCAAAGTTTTCTCTTCTCTGGAATCCATCGATCTGATTGATTATTAGCAAATGATCAAAATAGTCCGGAGGGTAGATATTTTCGTTTGGATTACTGGTCTGGGGGAAGCTTGCGAGTGTGTGTGTGCGAGTGTGTGTGTGCGAGTGTGTGTGTATACGTGTGTGTAGTTTTGCGTTTTGCGTTTGTTTCCCGGGGGAAACCCTCACGAGAAACACCGGCTGTTGTTATGCCTGCTGTGACGTTAAGTTACTCCGTTCTCCGCTTGTAATTATGCCGTTACAAGCTTCAAAGTTGTATTTATCATCTGAATTTGCCGAAACAAGTTTAATATTCTGAAAGCCAAGACTTTGTTTTAATTGAAATCAGATGAAAACAAACTGTAACGGACCCTGCCGTGTTATTTATGATTACTCTACGCTTACATTCATAATGTCAGCCGGAGGGAGGGGGAGCGGCGCTGCGGAAGAGCAGATTGCCTGTCATCTTCCCTTTACAAGCTTAAAGAATGTATTTATCGTGTGAGTTTGGAAATAAAAGTTTCATATTCTGAAAGCCAAGACTTTGTTTGTTTAAAATCAAACAAAACACCCGAACCCCGAAAAAATAGTTTTTTATGCAAATCCACGTTTATTTTGAAATGAGCCGTTGCGACTTCCGACTGATTTCGATAGAGCGGGTCACATATACAGTAGCCACAGAAATGACACGTTTCCTATTGTGATTAAAAGAAGTACAAACTAACCCGATAACATGTTACCAACAATTAGAATTGAATAAAATATTTTCTCGGCTACCCAGAAACGAAAAAGAGAAGAAGATGTGTGTAATTTGAGCTATAAACTCATATGTGGATACATTTAACAGTAACTCTGCTCTAGTCTTCATCTCATAATCTCAACACCAGCTCTGGTCTTGTTTTGATTAACACAAGAAAATAACAAACTTGTGAGAGAGATTAACCATCAGCACAACTATTTATAAGAATACTGAAGTGCATGACTGGAGGACTTTTTTGTTCGGGTGTGCTAGAGGAGTAATTCTGTCTCTCAGGCACTTTTCTCTAGGTCTGGTCTACTGTATCTCTGTAACATCTTATCCAGTCCTTCCTTCTCCCTCATTGAACCTTCAAAATGTTCCCTAAAGTCTCTTTTAATGAAACAAACCTGGACAACTGGAAACCGCAGAGTCAGAGCCACTTTATCGCCACGCTCAGGTGGATTCTTCTGTGCATGAAGAGAGGAAACATCCGCTCCCCGGGGTCGCATAAAAGACCAAGGCTCTCTTTTTCTTTATCTACTCCGACACATAACAATGCCAATTGTTCCTCAATGGAAACAATATATGCACCGGGGCCTCTCTCACGCCAGATGAACCATCTCCAAACTGAACTATGTGAAACAGTTGGCCCACAGTGACTTCATGATGAGCCAGTTTTGGGCAGTTATGGTGGCCTGAAGGTTTGTTCGTCCGTCATCCACTCTCTGATTCAATATGCTTCGGCTAACAGGGTGAGAACTGAGTCACACCAGGGCTTGTAGCTATAAAGAAAACAATTCTACTTGAAAATGACCACAAATTGTTTTTGGCCTACACAGGCATTTATTGGTGTTTTTCGTCTCTAGATTGACCCCATTAACTAAGAACATTGCAATATTTTTCTACATCAGAATGCTACTACTAGAGCCCAATAAGCAGCTCCTGAGTAGCAACGAACCCAATGACGCCAGTCTTCAGGACATTCTCTTTTTTTATCATTTCCCTTTACATGTTTTATTCATTGACTGACTGGAAATTCCAGTCTCACTTGTGGGAATAAGCTTCTGAGCAGGAAGTGTCACATGGAAGCTATGAGGTGTTTCCTTTCACCTCAGGAACAGGGTAGACTCTAATAAAAGACTGAGGGAACTGCATACATTACAAGTGTATGACTCTATGACTTGACTTGAAGCAAGTGTTTTTGCTTTTGGGTGTTCAACGTTTTGGGGTATTCAGTGCAACTGTATGATGTGTTTCCAAAGAACTTTCCTCATGTCTTTGAGCACAGACTACTGGATGTGACACACAACTTTCCTGAAATAGAAATAATTTGATAACGCAGGGTGGGAGGTTGAGATAATGATGATGTGTCGCACAGTAAGTAAAAAAGTAAGGGTATGTGTTGGTTCTGCATCACTTCTTTGGCTGTGAGAGTTGTGTCAAGGCCTTGTTAAGTAGCCCCTGACCTCATCTGATTCTGATTGTTCATCTGATATTTTCCTCAGCGGCATTAAAGTGTTAGCGGAATTATTACTTCAAGATGGAAGTTACATCAGTTTTTGCGAGATGACCGTGAGGAAATAATGTCTCGTGGCTTCAACACATATACTGCCGAAACCTTCATAATCTCATCACCTCATCGTCTTAAATTGGAACTTTTTCCGATGAGAAAGACCGATTTGGAAAGAAAATGCCTCTATGCCTTGTGAATGGTTATCTCATTGTACATCTTTCTGTCTTAGTCCCGGAGCAGTTTTATTCAGAAGTAAAATGATACCACCACTTACTGTCATTTCAGGTTTTCTAAGAAATTCCTTCCATTTAATTAAATGGCAGTTTCAAGTAGGTAGGAATGGCCTTTTGGTCCAATTTAAGACCAAACTGCATTTTTTGTTTGTTTATCAGAATGCCATTCATTTCCGCTACCCTATTATTAAAGTGATAGCTATTGTGGTGGAGCACTATGGCCCTGTGGAAAGAATGAGGCCTCACAATGCGGAAGCTAAGAGGTCTGGATCACACCAGATGTAGCCCCGGAGCTGGCAGCTCAAGGCAAATTCTGGAAGCTAGCTTTAATACGAGCTGACAGATGGAGTCCTTGCATGACTTATTGACCGTAATTCCTTCACTGCTTGGAATTACATTTTACTTCAGATAAAAAATGTGTGCATGATACAAAATAGTTTTATGAATAGAACAAGGCAGTTACTTTCCAATATCTGTCATTGAGAATAATTTGCCTTTTTTAAAAACACAAAATAGTGCAAAGTTGTAAACCTTCGTAATTTTCTAAGATGCATATTTATGAATAGGAATGATCAATAGTGAATAAGGCCAGTTAGAACGATAGAGTTTGTACAAAACTGGATAAACACCATAAAGACCATTAATACAAAAACAATATGGGGCCATTAAAGAGTATACTCATTGGTTGCAAAAATATGTTTACTAGGTCCACTGCTTCTCAACCCCCTGCCAGGGAATCTCATACTCGTCATTCACACAGCAGGCCTTTAGATCACAGACCTCTGACCCCACTTATTTGGTTGTTTGTGTTCACTAATCAGCCAGTAATCCCCAGAAATGTCCAAATCAGTCTTTTGGTTTTCCTAATGGAGCCCTCTCTGCTCTGCTTGGCTGTCAGCATGCTGAGGAGGGGACGGGGTCATTGAGAGCAA